ATTTCTGAACCTCAGAGTCTAAATCAGTGATGGTCAGTAGAATCATAATAGAACAAAATAGAGAATTTGCTGTTTTTACTCTTCTCATTACAACTTTGGGTAGGAAAACAACTCCAGCATTTTTAGTTGCTGAAGTGTTGGGTAAAATAAATATACAGTCCCACGGTGTCTTGTAACCCTAATTACCCAGGAGGCACAAAAGGAAGGGGCTGAACTAAAGAAAGCCTATGGCCAACATGCCTCTCTAGTGTGGGCCAGACTCAGAGGCTGTGTCAGGGAAACAAGATCCAAGGGCAAGATGTGAGTGAGACACGCAGATCTGGGCTTTACTCTTGACTGTAAATACACTGTCACAGCTTGCTCAATCCTGGACTGGTCCCTCTACCTGCCTCTGCCCCTGCGGTCAGGGTAACAAGAAGGGCAGGCTAAGTGCCTTGTGATGAAGTAGGCCCGTAGGCCAGACGTCTGAAGAACCACCAGTCTTCATAGTTCAAACATCTGCCGATTTCCTTTGCTCTGCTTCAGCAATGGTGCTGCTGGGCCCCAAATCCCACAGGACCCCACAAAGCAGCAAATCCACCAAAATGAGTCAGGGCAGTGCTTGCTACACAGGGGCTGGAACTGTCCTGGAAGACCGATAAAGAGGCTGATACCTGGACACCAGCTTCATCAACACTGTGCTTCCAGCTTTGGGCCAAAGATAATTCTAAATAACATGGCACACATAGAGTATTAGTTTGAATCCGCAAGATGAGGCACAATCCGTCACCTCTCATCACTTATTATAGTGGAAACATCTAAAGAGTCCTTTAAAATAACCACACAGGACTGAGCACTAGAGGACAAAAGATGTCTGGAAGAACCTTTGTTTTTTCTTTGGACATCAAAGGATGTACTACTGACGGGAACTTAAAGACCAGGCAGTTCAGCCTACTCATTTCCCAGACAAGAAAAGTGAAGCCCAGAAAACAGATGGGCTGCCTCCTCTAGTCATATGGGGCTTAAAAATATATATGTCTATTTATTTTTTTTCATGAGTTTTCATGAAAGTGACCAGTGTTATCTCATTTCCTGGCTTCTCAAATCCGGGATCCAGCCCAATCTAACTATTATTTATAGTTCGAATAAACCTTCTACTTTCCTATCTTCTCACTATCGCACCATCACGTGGACTGCCGGTCTTTACCATCTCCCACTTTCATCTTGTGAAAAGTTTTTGTCCTTCAATGATAAAACCAAATGAACTCTCTTGTATAAATGTTTCCCTCCTGAAACAAAATTCCTCTTGCCAACAACAACCCCTACCCCAATAATACAATAGCATTTCATATTCCTTTTTATGGACTGGGAAACATACTTATGTATTATCTCACTTAGTCCTTGAAATACCCCAAGATATCAGTACCATCTTCAATTGTGTTATACAGATGAAGGAGCAAAGGCATAGGGAGTTAGAGCCTTGTGTCTGGGGTTCTTGGCTAGCATTCCTTTATAGCTCTGATGGTTTATTATAAATATGGTTCATATTAATTTGCTTATGGGGAGAGGAAATTCTATTATCTAACATGATTTTTAGCCCCAAACATCCCAAGTCAAAAATACTGATTAATATATAGGCACTGAAGCTTTCCCATTACCTAACGGGTTCAGAACTCCTGAAGTTTTCAAATTTTCTCTAGGTTGGAAGTTTGGCCAAAAGTGTAAAGAACTGATGCCTAAACTTTAATTTCAGTATCCAGAAAGTGTGCTAGAGGCTGTTCTTTCGGGATGAAATTCAGTGACTATATGAGCCCTGGGCCTTTATCATGTTATCTGTTATTCCTACTCAGGATCAAACAGGCACATGCTATGAACACGGTTTCCCCCCCACATTTTGCAGGAGGTTAACTCTTCCACCCCATTCTATGGTGTTTTAACCCGAGCCTCTATTCTTGAAAACAACACTCTGGGTATGTGTGCCTTTTCCTAGAGATATGCCCAGTGATTTTTCCAAAGGGTTCTATGAGGAACAAATATGGAAAATAGTCGATAGTGGTGTGTCCTGCCCGTGAAGGGACAAGGAGAATCACTGAAAGGATGGGAAGAGTCAGCAGTGGGTGGAATAGCTTTTCTTGGGTTCAAATAAAATTATTCCTTTTGCACAATTCTATTGGAGGGTTCCTCTTATCATTTGGATCTTAAATGTTCCTTTGAGGTGCATATGCTGAAGACTTGGTCACAGCCTGTGGTGTTGTAGGGAGGAGGTGGAACCTTTAGGAGGTGGGGCCTGCAAAAAGAAAGTTAGGCTATGGTATGGGGCATGGCTTTCAACGGGATATTGGGGCTCTTTCACTCCTGACCCTTTCTTTGTTTCTTGGCCACCAACTCTTTCTTTGCTTCTTGGCCACCATGAGATGAGCAGCTTTGCTCTTCCATGGGCTCCTGCTATGTCATTCTGTACCTTAGAGGTCCCCAAAAAATGTACAGCAAAGTGGCCATGGACTGAAATCTCTGAAACCATGAGCCCAAATAAACTGTTCCTTCTTATGAGTTGTTTGTATCAGGAATTTTGTCACAGGGACAGTGAACTTACTTACACAGCATCCTAAATGCTGACAGTGCCTATGTCCTCAGAATGTTAAAGCAGCCAGAAACTACAGGGACTTATCTCTGCCCTCAGCACTTGACAATGAATCTGAGACTCAGACAAATGAAGTCACTTATCTGAATCCACATAATTTAGAATTGGGATAAATGGGAATCTAGTTTTTATTGTGCTACTGTCAGTCCACAATACTTCAAATAGCATCCTATTAACCTTGTGACTACTACCAAGAACAATCCATATGAGAACCCAGTATCTACATGTGGCCTGTGGAGCTGATGCTTTGACATCGGACTTCAGGGAATTTTATACAAGAAATAATCCTCATCTTCAGTTTTCTCTAGAGCCAGTCTTCTGATAAAATTCTTTACAAAAAAAAATAGAATTGTGTTTTTCTCTCATTAAAGATGAAGAAAGGAGATTTAAGCTGACCTATACAATCAATGTATTTTTTTTCTTGCCATCAAATATATCTTGTGTTTGTAATTTCCTCTGTTTTCTTTCTAAACTTCAAATAATCAAATTACTACCAGAAGACCAGATTGTAGAAAGTGGAGTAAGTATGTAAGCAGGAACATTTTACCCTTCAAGAGGAGGAATAATCTTAATCACATAACACATCTAGACAGGAGCAAGACACTTTAATCCTCACGGTATAGACAACAAGACCAGGGCTTTCAGGCAAACAGACAATCTCTCCAAGGAGAACAGCAAGACTTTTTTGTTTAATTCTGTTTTTTCTAAGACCTTAACTTTAGGAGGGTAAATATAGAGACAAAAGAAGTGTGAGGTAGGAAGGAGGGTGTGGGGGATATAGGCCAAAGTACATTAAATATGTGCATGAAAATGTCCTTGTGAGTCCTAGTACTATGTACACTGAATATTCACCAAAAATGCATTATTTGACCAGATATACATTATTTAACCAGATATATTTATAGCTATATGCTAGTAAACTATTATAGAGACAAATGCCTATATTTACACTGCTGTCTTTTCTGCTCGGTGAATCTAACAGTCATTTCAAGATTTGCTCTTGACTGGAAGGAAGCTGAGGTAGAGAAAGCAGGTGATTTGTCCTCGGTCCCCATAATAAGCGAAAAGTTACGTCAAAGAGAACTATCACTGTAAAGTGGTGTGGAAATGTTCTTCTTAGTGATGTGTTAATTTTAACAAATTTTATCATAATGAAGCAGCATATTTAACTCATGGAGGTTTTTTATAGCAGTTCTCAGTATGTGCAAAGTAAAAATCTGATGATGTCTCCAAATGGTCTTTTCCCTCCCCGTTTTCAAAATAAAGAATTCCAAGGGCAGACTGGGAGGCTTAGTGGTAAAAGTAGAAAGAGTGGGATTCCTATTATCCTTAACCAAGAATAAGCCAAATCTCCCAGTTTCTTACCTTCTAAAAAATTCAGTTCTTAAGAAACCAGAGACACTTTAAAATTTAAAATATTGTTGTTCCTCAAAAAATTCCAGGACTTGAGAAATCAGATAGTTTGATTTAAAATAATGCTGAATATCAACCATCGACAGCTCTTCCTTTATGATCATTTACTTTGGTAAACAACTTTCCTCAGTACTCCTCTTCAAGATAATCATCCTTAATTAATCTAAATCAAGAAGTGGGTGTCATTCTGCATGCATTTTGCCCCAGGGATACATCACTGTGGTTGGGAGAATCCCAGAACAGGAGCTACATGAAGGAATGAGGGTGGAAGGGGAATTCAGAGGGCATCCAGCTAATCTTCTACTCTGGGTAGGGCTGCTAAGGCACTTCTGAGAGGTATTAGAAAGTATTCACTGGAATGTGACAGGGCATTCTACTTTACACAGTAGCCCACCCCCGTTCAACAAGTCATACATAGCTTTTGATGCTTCTTCCTAATTCTGAATAAAAATCCGAGTGATCGTAACTTTTGCGCAGACCTGACTCCTATGGTGGAGCGGCTTCTTTTTCCTTACAAGTGAATTTGAAGGCTTGCTTCCTTGTTTCAAGCTTTTGTTCCTCTGATAAAACACCTGCAGGTCTTTGATTTGTCTTCCTGTACCTTGGGTTCCGATCTATCAATATCATCCTTCCCTAAGAAAGCCATTCTCCTGAGCCAGACATGGTAGTGCACACCTATAACCTTAGCATTTGGGAAGCCAGGGCAAGAGGATCATGAGTTCAAGGCCAGCCTGATTACACAGTCCGCCCTGTCTCAAATTAAAAAAAAAAAAAATCCATAAAAGATGGGCACTCCTTAATGTCTCAGAATTTACTAGTCTCCCTTTAAAAATGCACGTATCTACATTTATGCAGCCTATGGTCACTTTTGAAATAGCTGCTGTGAGAAATTCCCCTGTTCCATACAAGGCCCCCTTTGTTCTCTGCCTGCCTTTTTGGGACAGGGGTCTGTGACCTGAGGACTTACCTTTGCCAAGGTTTCATCATCCAGGTGATTTTTCTGAATCACATGTTGAAGTGCAAAATAAATTTTTTCCTGAAGCTTCTGAACTTTCCTTGGTTCAATTAGCCAGGCCCGGTCTGACAGAGGGAAGATAAAGGGGTAAGACCAGGAAGCGCACACAACTCTCACTTCATTTCACCTGTATACGTGAAGGCTGAATTCAGACCCACTTCAAATCACTTAGCTCTAATTGCTCCTGAAGACATGCAATTATTTATATGAAACACAAATATTTTATAAACTGTGATTTCATGGAAGCCAGTGAGTGACACATGGTGCAAAGACATAGGAGGCCATTGGGTCCAAATCCACTCCTTGCTCAGTGTTGGTGATTGTTTAAATGTTACCCCCTTTTCTCTGGACAGATGCTTAGATTTTCTTTCAAAGTAGAAATAAATGACTTGACTATACAGAAATCATGTTGGTAATCACAACTCCTTTCCTTTGCTTGACTTATTCCTTTGTCAGCTAGAAAGCTGAGTCTATGCTGTAATTTATAAAGCATATCTACCAGTCTGTTTCAGAAACTGACTCCCAAGTCCTATTTTCCTCTCCTGAATTTTTAAGTGGTAGGTAGAATAAGCCTTTCTTTCTTCCCTCCCTTCTTCCTTTCCTTCCTCCCATACTCCTCTTCTTCTCTCCAGCTTTGTCTCTCAGCCAACAATTCCTGTTTTCTTTTCTGCTTAGAAGCTTCATATGCCATGGTGACAAAATGCAGTCCAGTATTAATGCCTTAATTTGGTCAAGAGACACCCAGAGACTCCAAATGTTGAACAAATACTCATGGAAAAGCACTTGGCCATGATCCTCCTGAACACAGTTCAGGTCAGGTGAGAAACTTAATTCTGTAATCCTAGACCGGACAAGGAAAAGTGTAGCCTAGAGTTAAGCAAACCCTTACGTAAGTGAGCACAAAGGCCTTCAGTGACAATTGTCAATCAGAATAAATTAAGGTTCCCTACCCCTCCCTTCCCTAAGCTATTTGGAAATAAATGGTTGGTAGCTATTGAGTCCAGAGCCTGGGGAAGGGTGGGGTCTGACTTGAGAGGGAACAGGCTGCACATCTGTCTTCTGTTTTCCCTGAGTATGGCACTAGGCCAGGAAGATAAACAGGATATTTGACATCGTGAAGCTTGGAGTGTGGGTCTGCTACCAGGACTGGAATATTCCCCCTAGTCAGAGTAAGATCAATCACGTTTCCAAACTTTTCAGAGGCTGAGGACAGAATCCTTTTTCAAGAAAAAGGCTAAACATTTTAGCTGATTTCAAACTCATGGAGCCCAGCCCAGCCTTCTTCTGGGACTGTCACTTCCATGCCTCTTTTTAAGCAGGATGAGGCACGTCTTCAAAATTTGCCACGGGGAGTTGACTGTCTTCCACAACCATGCCCGAAGAAGAGAGAGATGCTTGATAGGGCTCTTCTTTTGAGTCAGCATGAACTCAAAATACAGGAAGCCACCTCCTGTATCCATAGAAGCCATCTTCCATGGAGCAATGCTCAGGGTAGATAACCAAATGCTCTGAGGACAGGGAGAGGGTTTGGTATGTGCCTGCTATGAGCAAAAGGACTTCTGGTCACTTCTCCCCCTATCTTTGTACATGCAAGCCTTTCCATTTTTGATGGAAGAGTTTCAATAAAAACTAAAAGCAAATTTTCAAATATATGATCAGGTATCAATAAACATATTATGAATAATAAAGCCTCTGGATAAAAAAGTATAGAGGTCCCTATTACGGGTAAATATAACTAGGATGACATATCAAAAGTACAAGACAGAATTGTATATCTGTGTAAGAATTATTTTTTTTCCAGCTTAATGGGAAATATGTTTGGGTGTAAGTAAAGCAAGCTTTCTTTTTAAATATATTTTAATATTTTTATTTTTTATGTATATGAGTGTATTGCCTGCATGTATGTGAGTACACCTGTGTCATGCAATGCCACAGAGGTCAGAAGAGGGCATCAGATTCCCCTGGAACTGGAGTTAAGGATGGTTTGTAGCCGCCATGTGGGTGCTGGAACTCGAACCCGGGTCCTCTGCAAGAGCAGTCAGTGCTCTTAACAGCTGAGCCATCTCTCCAGCCCCAAGCGTTCATTTTTTTAAAAAAATTATGAGTGTAAGGCTTGCATGTGTGTAAGTACACCCATGTTGTGCAATATCTGCAGGGGACAGAACAGAGTGTTGGATTCCTCAGAACTGGAGTTATAGACAGTTGTTAGCTGCCATGTGGGTGCTGGGATTCAAACTCAGGATTTCTACAAGAACAGCCAAGCTATCTCTCCAGGCCCTAAAGCAATCTTTCTAAGAGAGAAATGGATTACATAAAGAATGACTCTATCGACCTTAAAAATTAGTTCAGGCGGTGCATTCTTCATTCAACAGAGACCTGCCAATGAACTTCTATGTCCTGGCCCCAAATCTTATAGATAGCTACTTGAGTGACTCTGGTCAAAGAGGGAGCACAGGTTTATTATCATAGTGTTTTCATTATATTATTGTGATTATACAGTATTATGTCGTTTACATTTTAACTTTGGAAAACCGTTTAGTGTGTTATTATATTTTATCTTGTCTGTTATGGGGTCCATTGCCCTGTTTTGTTGATGAGGGAACCATAGCTCTGTGGTCTTACAGATAAATAATGGCTACAGACATGTTTGAATTTTTTCCTCTTCCTCCAGGCAGCCCTTCCCCCCCTCAGCTGTCCTTTCCTTTGGGAATTCTTAATATTGCTAAGAAAAGAGCTGATATATTTGCCTCAAGTGACCATTCCAATGCATTCTAGGTAGAAAAGTCAACAAAAGGTAATTAAAGTCTCCATACTTTGGTCTCTCATTTAGGCATTTTTCTGTAAGTTTCACTCTACTGGACTTTCCAAAAACAAAACAAAACAACAACCCGAGATCCGTTATTCTTGAACTATTTGTTTTCATTCACGTGTTGAGCAGTTTTACTCATCTGGATCTGCACTGATCCTTCCACACGTGCCATTCTTGTTTTAGGGGAAAAAAATTGGTCATTTAAACAAATGTGAGACTACTTCCCTTTACAGTGTCTGAAATATCAAACACTTGCTGGAGAAAATATAGTTCTTTTAAAGTTATTTCTTGAACATTTTGGCTTGGGTAGGTGTAACTGATGTTAAAGATAGTGGAGCAGGCTTAAAAAGAAGGCAGGGGACCTGCGCCTCCCTACCTGGGGATATCAGAACAGCAGACGAGAACAAAGCAATCTCCTCCTCGGTCAGCTGCAAGGAGCACAGATTCTTCGCAAAGTCAAATGCTTCATTCACTAGGTCATCAGAACCTAAAAGGAAGGAAAAATTTTAGACCGAAATGCTTGAACTCATTGGGGCATAGTAAGGAATAGCTCATTATCAAGAAGTTATTCAAGGATTTGCATACCAGACACCCAGGAAAGGTGTTTTAAGTCCCTGTCATACAAAGTGATCATACATGTAGAATGAAGAAAAGTGGGCACATCTTTGCAAGGTTAACATTGGCCACGAGGGGGTAAAAGTCTGTCTAGCATTCAGCATAGCATCTGCACATAATCTGAATCTGATCTTATAAACCTGAAAATATTTCAAAGTAAAAAATCGTAAATCATTGTAAAAATGTAAATGTATGGTAGCACATGCCTGGGATCGTAGCACTCAGGAGGTTGAGGCAGGAGGACTGTAAGTTTAAGGTCAGCCTGAGCTATATACAGTGAGACTTTGTTTAAAAAGTTGTAAATAAGTGATTTGAGGGTCCTTTGGAATAGGGACAGCTTCCATAGAAAACCTAAACCATTAAATATAAGGGTTCAGGGACTGTCATCTTTGTAGGACTTGAACCTGGCAGTATGAGGTGTCCAGCGGCTTCATATTGAGACGCCATGTAAAATGTTGATGAGATGTCTTTCATTTTGTAATTTCTCCCCAAATTTTATTTTCATAGTCTGATGAATGGCTCACAGGTTGGTTGCTTAGCCACTGTGAATTTTGGCAAAATGGTGTTGCTTCTCTGCACCGATCCCTGCTAATGTTTATTTGATGATGCTGGAAATATCCTGAAGTTACTTGCCAAGGCTTTTCCTCCTTTCTTGAAAATGTAGCCTTGAGGAGGGCACGGATGTGTATCAGCTGTAGAAGGGAATGTTGCCAGCTCAATGGGCTTGCTACTGGTGGCCATATCGGCTAACAGCTCAAGAGGTGAAAGGGCAGGGACTTACTTGGTGTCTGTGGACAGGATATGGAACAACTGGCACTATCAGTCCTTCAGACTTTTCCTGGCACCAGCCCACCCTTGCTAATGTTCTTATCCGTACCTTTTTCCTGATGACATTAACACCTCCGAAGAAACACTGGACCTGCCAGCGCTGCTCATAAGAATGCTCTGGAGGCCATTCTGACCAGGTCAGTACCCACTTGTCTGTGCTGCCAGAACTTCATGAGTTCATAAGCAGAAAAATCACTGTTCTTGGTGAGAAACAAGGATAGCAGCGAGCCATTGTGGTTATTATGTATGGCTATTACTCTTTAATTATATTGACCAGTGCTTATAAATTTACATAAAAAGAGGTCACCAGTATAGACCAAAAGCATTCTACATAATGTGCTTTGTAAATTAGTAAACTAGAATCTAGAAGAAAAGCCGATTGTACAAAGAAGGACCTCGAGTGCACCCAGGTACTTTAGCATCAATCTTTGTTTATTTCTGCGAGGTCTGAATTGTGTCAGTCTCAACAGGGTTTTCTCCTTCCTTTCTGATCAGGAACCATAATTATAGGATCAGCAGAGCTGGATGAAACACTGGAAGTATACCTGGTCCAACTCTAATCAAATAATGAGATACTAGCTTATCCCAAATAATCAAGGCATATCATTTGCTATTTCAATTTAAGTGGGGAAGCCAAAGGCAGGTAGCAAATCGTGGGAAACTTACCCAAGGCTTTGAACATTTGCATTCCTCCATATTTTCCTTCAAACAGAACAGTGTTGTTTAATGGGTTGAAGGCACGGCACATTCTCACTAAAACCACTTCCAAGCAACCTACAAGTTAAAATAATTCAAACAATTTGTATAAAGCATATAATAAAGTCATTAGTGCATGTTAGATGAAAATATTCAATAGCTTTACTTTTTTGAGACAAGGTCTCCCTAGGTAGCCTAGGCTCTCTTTGAACTCATGAATCTCCTGTATCAGCCTCCCAAGTTCTGAGTTTATAGGCATGTGGCATTACACCCAGGAATTTTCAAGAACTTCTAACACACACACACACACACACACACACACACACGGAAATCTTTCAAGATTTATCCTTCAAAAGTAATAATTTTAAAGGACTTAGAGATGGCTTAGCATTTAAATGCATTTATTGCCCTTCCAGAATACCAGAGTTCAGTTCCCAGCAACTATATTGGGTGGCTCACAGCTGCATGTAACTCTAGCTCCAGGCGATCCAATGCCTTCTTCTGGCTTCCATAGGTACTTACACACATGTGGCATATACTCACACAGACACACATACATGTGATAATATCTTGTTTTTTTTTTTTTTTGAGGCAGGGTCTCCCTGTAGCCCCAGCTGGCCTGGAACTCATTCTGTAGACAAGGCTGGCCTTGAATTCATAGAGATCTGCCTGCCTCTGCTTCCCAAATGATGGGATTAAAGGCATGTACCACCATGCCTTGCCCACAAAATTGTAATAATTTTAGAAATAAAGTTCTTTTGTTACTTCAATGAAGAAGTAATTGATAATGCACTTTAAAGATAGCTAAAATGGAAAGCACCAACAACATTTGTGGGGGGAGTGAAACATTTTCTATTTAAAAAATTATTTATAATTTTTGTTTTATGTGCATGACTGTATTGCCACCTGTATGTATGTGAGAGCACCCATATTGTGCAAAGCCCACAGAGGTCAGAAGAGGGTGTTGGATCCCCTAGAACTGGAGTTACAGATGGTCGTTGGTCACCTTGTAGGTGCTGGGAATTGAACCCAGGTCCTCTGCAAGAGCAATCAGTGTCTTTAGTCAATGGGCCACCAATCCAGCTCTCTTTCTAATTTTTTTTAAACTAATTTTAATCTTAGTTTCAGGTCTTGAATTCATAATTGATAAATGGCCCAGAAAGGAGCCCTGTGTTAGATGAGTCCAGTCTGTGGGCTTTTGTAGAAAGTTTGTTACTGGGAAAACTCTTGCCTTCTGACTTCTCTGCTACATGGGCCAGCAACAGGCTGTTGGGGTTATTGCATTCACTCTTGGAGCTGTAGTACCAAGAAAAAAAAGTTCCTGGCACATAGATTCTTAACTGAAAAAAAGTTAATTTGCTACCTTTGTTTTACCCCTATGAAAATTTATTGACACCCTGAGGAATTACTACTGCAGTTTCTCTATATTATAGACAAGTGGGCTTCTCTAAAATGTAACAAACTATTAATCTAACAAAGCATTACTTTATGATATTTAGAACCTTCCTTTTATACTGGAGGCAACATCTGTAGAGCAGGACTTCCTGACAGGTAGTCACTGGGATCCAGAAACTAGAATTCCTAAACAGTACAACAGAAGTTCTTAGAGTCTTTTGACATAGCTTAAGAGGTCCCATTGGGTTACATTCACCATATACTATTAGCCAAAGCCATCATGAAGGCCTGCCTGGGGTGGAAGGTAGCAGGCACATCTTCTACCTCCTGATGGAATTACAGTCATGTTTAGAAAACTCTTTGGAACAGACGATATTGTTGTGGCTCTCTTTGAAAAATAAAATCTGTCTGGGTGTGGTGGCGCACACCTTTAATCCCAGCACTCAGGAGGCAGAGGCAGGCAGATCTCTGTGAGTTCAAGGTTAGCCTGGTCTACATATCAAGTTACAGGTCAGGTGGAGCTACAGGGAGACCCTGTCTCAAAAAGACCAAAAAAAAAAAAAAAAAGAAAGAAAAAGAAAATCTGATCCATTTGATGTATCACCTTGAACTAACCCCCTAAGATAGCAGCTGTCTTGCTTTTTAAAATAAAGAAATAAACTAGAAACCAAGAATTCCGAACCAAAAATTCCAGGAAGTGCATCACAAGCAGCAAAGGTGCTTATCAACGGTTCAAAGACGAAGCCACTCTCACAGACTATAAGATTCAAACCTGTTCAAAGGTAACTCAGTTCAGTATTTCTAAGACTCAGATATCACCAATCCGAGACGTGTTTGTACTATTGGGTAATGGAGCAGCAACATGTTAAAATAAATATATTTGGCCTGAGTTCAAATGCCAGCTTTACCATGATTTGTGATACTGAAAACAGCATTTTACTTTTTTGAATCTTCATCATCTTTGCCTCAAGAATGAAATAATATTGATCTCAGAAGAATAAATGAAATGCCGTAGGTAAATGTGAAAATCCGTGCACATGTTATTATGTGTGAAAATGGAATTTTGGATGAGGCCCATGCAGATGAAGTCTAACGCCACTGTGTTCCAATTTTCTGTTTTTCAAGGGAGTCAAGAAAGACACAAGCAATATATTTTTTTTCCTGTTAGGCAATAGCAATGCAAAGTCAAGCTTATGTAGAGCTGCTAAGTGGTTGCTTGTATGTTAAAGAGTGCACCAGAAAAGGGGAGGGAAGATTCCAGCACGAAGGAGTTTCTACCGGTGGATCCTGGCTGCAGGCTATCCTCATTAAAATGATTGGAAGTGACCACAGATGCAGAGCTCAGCTATCTGAATTTTTTTCTCTTGCAGAAGGCAAGGAACTGGTTTTAGCGCCAGCTCAGCAATTCAGCCACCTTGACACGCTAATTACTTGCACTGCCTGTCAAGCTGGGTATCTCAGCCTCCGCAATTAATAGCTCTACTTTCAATAAGTGAAATTGTATTTGACTTCAAAGGAGAAATGAATGAATATCAGGGCATTTTTATTACTGAGAATTCCTTAGGGAGTTAGCTGACAATGTGGGCGGTTAAACGAGCTACCTGTGAAAGAAGGATTTTCTAGAATCGTCAGAATGCTAGCTAGTGTGGAACAATCTAGTCTGAAATAGGCCCCACCACTGTGCTCTTGCTCACCTGACTTGAGAAGTAGAATCTGATCGTTTTGACAGAGCTCCATGAAGCCTGTTATCCGCTTTGCGAACTCTACCACGTACTGGATGGCATGCGTGATCTGGATGGCGCACTGCTGCCACAGGGCTTCCCTGGACTACGGGAGAGAGGACAGCCATGAGCTGAGGGCGCTCCAAGGAGGCAGTGAAATGCTCAGCGTGCGTTTCAGCCTTGTCGCTGGGACCCAAGGGTCTGGAAATTACATGATTCTTTTTACCTTTGTGTGTTGACTTATGTGAACCTCAATAGGCAGCAATTGTCAAAGAACCAAAGCTAACTTACAAGAAACACTGTATTATAATTTGCAAACAAAGTTACTTTCGTCACAATTTTTCTCCCTTCTTACCTCAACAAGCCCAACCGCAGTCCACTAGCTAAAATCAAACTCTGTGTTCAGGGGTAGTGATTTCACTCACCATAATGCCATTTTCATGGGAACCTGGTGGTCATTGAACATATATTTTAATGCTATGTTCATTTTCCAGAATCAGGAAAAAGATGTTCTGCTTTTATTTTTGTTGCTTACTTTTATTTTTGGAGGTGCACTATGTACACAGACTGGCTTGGAGGACACTATGACTTTCAGGGTGGATTCAGACTCTCAAAATTCTTCTGCTCTGGCCTCCCAAGTGGTGCAATTTACAGACATAAGCCCCCAAACTTGAGTCAATTTTTTTTTTTTTTGGTGTAAGAGGAATTCTGTAAGAAAATCATCAGTTCAAACTGAGTCACTCTAATAAGAATATGGAATCCCCCAAATGTATTTTAATACTTGGGTTATTTCCTTTGAACTAAGAAACCCAAATCCATGTGATTGTGAATTCTACTTTTATGGACCATAGCAGTATTTACGTCTTTGTTTCTATAATTATGTAAAAGTAGTAAGAACTGCTTGTTCTGCTAGAGAAAAATCAGCATGTTGGCTAAACCACACATCTAGACACATTTATATATTTTTCTAAAATTCCATCCATTAGTAGATCTTGAAGCTGGGGATCATAGTCCTAAATTCAAGTGAAATGTCTCTAATGTGTAGAGAAACATTATTGCTAATGATGCAGGGTAGATTGTCCTTCGGTAGGGCCAATTCCAAATGTGTTGGGCAAGAATAAGAATGTAGAAAGCTTTGTTCCCTGTGTTTGTTGAGCAACCTTGGGTCTATCATTACTGCTGTGATGATCTAATATCTCCTGCTCCCGGGCTGAAATCATAGGCTACCTTGAGAAGTTCTAAACCATCTGACAGGGCACCATGTCCCCGATCATTCAAATAGGGCAATGTTTTTCAGTCAGGTAGTTATGCCTCCTAGGGAACATTTGACAGCATTCAGAGACATTTTTGGTTGCCATAACTGTATAAAGGTGGTACATCATAGAAGTCCCCAGTCAGTAGAAACCAATACACCACATTGCGTAGGACAATCCTACAGCCAAGAATGGCCATGCCTAAAATATCAATCGTGCTGAGATAAAGTCAGACATGGGCTGTCACAGAGAAGCTCCCCATGTGTCCTCTGAGTACCTTGCTTTGATATGCTTTAATTTCCTCATAGGTGTGGGTCTGCCATGCCAGCTGGTGCAGCTCTTCCATTGTATACTGACATGTCTCCAAATGAGACTTAATGATGTTCTGTGCAATTCGATCTATGAGAAAAAAATATCAGTTTGAGGCTTTGAGAGTAAAATCTTTCTACTCAAAGAAATTGTTTCTAGTCTACGGTCTGTAAGAATGCAGCTGGAATTGTATTAACCTACAGGGAAACATTTCTACTACCACCGCCCACCTCAGAATTTCCCAACTCTTCACTGTCCTTTTCAACCTTTTAATCAAAATCTTATTACCCTCCCCTCTTTGATTAAAGCATTGTAAAGTCTTCAAATCATTATTTACCTTTAAAACGCATATTAAACCACCACCACTGTTTGCTTTTGGCTGACAATCCCTAAGCACTTTTAACACATGCATGCCAAGTACTTTAAAATGTTTCGAAAGTCACTATAATCCTATTTCAGATCAGAAAGAAGGAATTAAAATATACGTGTATTTGTTCTTTTTTGAAAGTGGGAGGATTAAATAATAAGCTAAAAAAGAAAGGTTATTTATAAGAGAACAAAGTGGAAAGACGAAAGACGAGGTTTAACCTGACGATTTCTGATTCGACTTTGGAGCTGTGTACGTACCTTTCACAGCTAATAACAGGAGCGGGATATAGATAAAATTGGCTTGTGAGTTGGTAATTACTGAGATTGGTACATGAAACCACTAACTTCAGTCTTTCAATTTTTCATACAATATTTTCTTTCAAAGTGTTATAAATGAGGAAATGACTATATTCATAAAGACTAGTAACAAACTATGTTTGAGCAGTTTATGTTAAGCAAGTTGTATTTTATATTGTGTCTTAAATAACTGTCATTTTGACTTTTGGGGTGTGAAGTTTGAGTGATACAACAGGACAGAAGAGCTCTCCTGAAAACTTGCTATGAGTCTCTTGTATTGGATAGATCTGGCAGGAGGTCCTTCCTAGTCCCATCTGCTATTTGAACACATGGAAAAGGTGACAGCTTGAGAAACCAAAATACTCAGGAATTCTGTATGTGGGGTATGCGTGGAATGAAGATAACCAAATCTGCCTGATAACTGTTCTTGACTCATGCAGAAACAGAAGTTTTCTTGTGTTTCAGGTTGTGCCTTTGGAAATGCACGTTTGGTTTTCTTCTAAATGACTTTATTTTGTTTCTCCAGGATAGGCCTTAAAATAATATATTGATGATCCATTTTTACCTTGCTAAGTATCTGGTGTATATGATGTGAAGTCAGTTGAATTTCAGTGATGCAGAGATGAAAAATGTAAGCTTAAGCGTCTAATGGATTTTCTAAATAAAATTCTCCATAGCTGATTGGCACATTGCAAACTGAATGACTGGTGGCCATGTTTATCATTATTGGGGCCTTCTGGGTTGTTTCTCACCAGAGAAGCGATGTAAAGAGTTGAATGGAGACAAGACAGTCATTTGATTTTTCAAACAGTAGTACTGAAAGAAGGCATTTCATAGGTGCTAGAATTTAGAAAACCAGAACCCTAAAGTGACAGGGATGGAAGATGCTACAGATGCTGACTAATGATGACGGTCATGTTTTATTGGCTTCCACATTGATATTTCCAGCCTTTCACAGCATATCATATGACAAAATCCTTTCCTTACAAAATCCCATATTCAAAGTTTTACTGAACATATTCCCATGTTATAAAGAAGGCTAGAAATTACTCTGTACATCATATTAAAATAGATTGGTAAGTCATGGTTCATCATTTCTCAATTTCATTTGGGTAGTCTATTTATATTCTAAAAAATAAATATCTGTTCCTAGTAGTTATATAATGAAAACGTAACATTTTATAGCTTTACAGTTTCCAGACTTTTATCTGTGGTATAGGTTATTTTCATCTTCAAAGATATGTGAATCTGTTGCTGATTTACAGGCTTTGGGGTTCATAATAAAAACTAGAATAGCTACTAAGAATTGCACTGTGACAGCTGACCTTCTCCTTCAGGTTATCTTCTGGGAACTATGAACCAAAGTTTAGGAATTTTCTGGTCTTTTTCCACTTGCCACATGAGCTCTATGGAGTATTGGGGAGAAGGACAGGAATAGTCAATACGTGAGAGAGCTAAAATTATTGGATGCTAAATCTGTACCCATGCTTCAGGACCTGGCTGAGTATGCATTTATGGTGAAGGCTTTCTTCCCACCCTGTGGCCTCCAGCAGAGGGATTTGTTGCAGTTATAACAAACCGCCTCCTGTTGTTGAGTCCTGATTCCGACCAGGTTGATACTGTGGTATTTATGTGGATCTGTCTACCTTGTACCCGTCAAGATTGTGAGCTTTTCAAGAACTGAATGGTGAAGTCCAATATGATGCCATCATGTGTTCACTCAGCTCATAGTTTTTGAGAAACTACTGTATTTCAGGTCAAGGTATAAATGAAAACAAAAGGCACTGCTTTTGTTTTTAAAGATCTTAGAATCATATCATATTATGATATAGTAAATGCCCTTAGTATTGGGATATCCTCGTGGAGAAAGTGTTTAGTTCTATCTGAAAGAGACCAAAAAAAAAAAAAAACCCACAGAGGAGATCATCTGGGTCTTGAAGGATGAATAGAAGTTTGTCATATGGAAGACAACTGGGAGCACTGTAAGTAGAGGGAATTAAGAAGGCAACAGGAATTACCACCAAGCTGGGTTATTCCAGATGTTATTTGCTAAACCTTTGCAACCTTTACTTCTTTGCCACCAATTTCCCTTTTTGCTGAGGAGGCAAGTAGTGAGTTACTCTGGACTCGTTTATAGAGAGTTTGCAAATGCCTTTTTGAAGTCAGCTTGATCTTTTCTGTCAAGAGTGTATGGAAAGTCCAGGGAGAATCGGGGCTCTGTGGGCACAGGGACAGTACCATGGACAGATGAGTAAGCTTGTTCAGGCACTGTCTCTCCTAGACTTTTAGACTTGATCTGTGGAGAGCATGGAACCAGAGGATGCTGAGAAGAGAGCAACATGATTGGAGTTTTGTTTTAGAAAGGTGATCTTAGCCAGGCAAAGAGGAAGAGGTGCATTAGTGAGTATGTGAAAATATTCAGGCTGTTGTGAAAATTTAGGTAAGACATGAGAAAACCTGGACTAGGTGATCATGGCAGAGAAAGGCTTCCAGTTCAGATTCAAGACAATTCAGATACAGAACACATAGAGATAGAAGGCATGGCAATAAAGGAGCAAGAGACATAGCAAGAACTTCACTAATGTTGAGTTATTAAATATAGCTCTGAAAATTTCCATCTATCCATCCATCCATCCATCCATCCACCCATCCATCCATTCTTCATCCATTTAATATTACCAAAGCACCCTTTTATCTCCTCCCTTGATTCATAAAGGATCTGAGAAAACCGAGGTTGATCTTTTGTTTGGAAATCTTAAAGCCTAAGCATTCATAATGGATAGAAGTCAACATCAAGAATGCACTCTTGCTTCTTACTCCCTTGTGGTGAGATAAGTCGTATGCCTTTTGAGCATGGGGCACATACATGGCAATGGAGTCCAGGCTGCACAAGTTGCAGCTGCAGCTCCCTTCCTCGTCTGTGTTCTCCCACTGTTCTGCAGCCTGTGGGGGAGCCACGTGCAGAAACTGGCCTGACCCTCTTAAAACTCAGGTCGATGAAGAAAAGGATAAAGCTATTCTTGGTCCCATGGAGTATGGCCAGAGGTTTGCTGATTAGAAAGATGCTTGAACATCAGAGGAAGATAGCTTTCTTGGACTGAGAGTCTGCAGTTCTGAAAAGAGTCAAAAGGGCTTAAAGAGAAGGGACAATGAATGCAATATGCAAAGTTCCTGCTGGGAGCCAAAGGAACTCAAGAGCTCTTGCCTGGAAAAATAGAAAAGGTAATAGTAAATGAAGCCCCCTCCAGGGACTAGCCACATGAGAAAGTCCAGACAAAGGAGACTGAGGCAAAGGAGCAGAGGAGACAGAATCTTTCTGGGTAATCACACTTTCATCATGCATTACCCTGACTTGGATTGCAGCTCTTGTTTTCTGTTGGTTTCTTTAGCTTGGGCTGAAGACAGTGAATGTTGAAGGAGGAATTGACATGAACTATGCATGAGTCCAACCAGAATATGTCAGAGACAAGTGACATATGGGAAACTTTACCATGATCAGAGGTGATGCACACAGACCCTACACTTCCTGAGACCAGGGAGGCTAGTGATTCCTCAAGTGCTTAAGTAAGGGACTTCTATGGACAGGTGTATCTTCTTAGTAAAAATTCTGTACACATGCTCAATAAAGCAATGGTTGCTCAGTTTACTTGGTGTGTGAAGACTGCTTTGACAGTTAATAAAATGATGCTGAGTAATGAGAAACACAAAATGATATGATCAGTCCTGTCATCCACTTTCAATCATGAGGTATGGTGCTGATCCTGATGCAGGCCGGGGGCAATCAGGTATGTAATTAGAGGTTAATTTTAACTCCCTGTTGCTTATATTCTCTTTGTCAATTTCATGGACAACATCTCTCTCTCTCTCTCTCTCTCTCTCTCTCTCTCCTTCTCTCTCTCTCTGTGTCTTCCTTATATGTACACATACAGATAAACATTACTTTTTTTCTGTGAAATTATATTTAGATTTAGATTATGGTCCTTATACATTTTTCAGCGGACGGTTTATAGAAACCTATGTTTATGACTAGCTAAAAGAGCTTGTAACTTCATATATGAATTATCTATATGTGATAAGATGACAATGGGTGATTCATATGAAATAATTCAAGAAAATTTCAACATAATTAATATAGACAAAGACACTTCTATGTTATTTTTGACGAAAAGATGCAATGTAAAACAATATTGTTAAAACTGTCACACTTCCCTAAAAGTCTTAAGGATAATCTTAACTGTACTTATGATATGGGCAATAAGAAGAGAAAAATTAAATATCTGAATGGGGAAACAGAATAAAATTGATGGTAATACTCAGTAACGTGTGTAATAATTATAGGACCCTGGGGCTAGAACTAACCTCTTTCCTCCATTTTTGGATGGACTGTGCCTAAATAATCCTGGAAGTTGCCCTCCCCTCTCTGT